TATGTGGTCGGTTGGTTTTGGGGGGGCCCTTATATACTCGGTGTCTAGACCAGTGACTGGCAAACAGAGCACCAGAAATTGTGTTGCATGACTGAATTTTATGTGGCACTACTCAAACAGAAGGCCAATTAATGAAAAATGGTTAAGTTAGAGGCCCAGGTTTATCAAATTCTACACATTTGCAAGTAAATGCTGTGATCATAACTAATGCTTAGCTGGTTGTTGGGAAAGGAGATTAAAATATCCTGTATTTTAAAGTGTTTATGCATGACTAAGGCCTCAAGCCACACTGTACTAGTTTGCTCAGGTGGGAAACATAAACACAATGGTTTAGAGTTAACTGCTGCTTTCAGTCTTGAGGTCTGACCCATCAGGAACTGAGGTCACTTCATGCAAGTATTCCACCCCTATGTGACTGACCCTCAATAAAAACCTTGGGCACCAGGCTCAGGAAAGCATCCTTCGTTAACTTACTTTTAGTTGCATACTTACTTAGCTCACAATACTTTTGTATGAGTTGCCATACACTGTTTGTGGGGAGTTAAGCACATTACCCCTGTTCTTTTTCCCCTTTGCTGATTTTCCCCTGCAAAGGGAGTACAAATGCTGAGTCCTATGAATCCTTTCATCAAGTCCTAGAGCTTGAGAATGGTCATGAGGAATATACATTTACTCTTTACCATCCTAATATCAACGGTTTTAATGCACAAGGATACAAACCACTTCATTACCTTTGTGTTTTCATCTTGGTCAGGCTTCTGTGTCCTTTTTGGGGGCCTGCTGTGGAATTCTACCACTTCCACAAACTCCCTACTGTTCTTCAGGGGACAGGAAGGGGCTGCAGCAAGGCCATCTGGTTCTGAAGGGAACTCTGTTGGAGGCACAGCAGGAGAACAATGCAGCTCTTCTTGGAGTTCCTTGAAGAAGCTGGAAGCACTTTTCCTTTGGCCTCTTCCATGAGAATTAGGAAGAGGAGCTGGTTCCTCTGACAAGACTACTGCGGTTCTCAAGCCTCTCTTTTTGATTTCCCTTTTCTCTTTTCCCTTTGTCTGTTTTGTTTCATCTTCCCTCTCTCCTGTGGGTTCAAACACAAAAAGGGAAAAATTACATCTTGGCTTTAGCTATACCCAACATTAAGCCACATGAATGCACTAAATACTCAGAAGTATAAAGAAATAAACTGCCTGTTTTCCTTTAATAGCATTGCATATGCATAATACAATGTAAAGTACACAGTGATCCTTTCCTTGATAACTGCACTGGCACCGCGGCTCTAGTCCGCACCATGGTCCTTGGGAACTGGTCATTTCAGTTGACTCATGCTTTGCACAAAAACGTCTGCCAGAGCAGCCAGTTTCTTAACAATAAACAAAACTACCACCACAATACAAACTTAGTGTTGATTTGACTCATGGAGCTGAATTTTGAGACTGTAAATCTTTTTTTTTTTTTTTTCATTTTATTGGGGGCTCACACAGTTATCACAATCCATACATACATCCATTGTGTCAAGCACATTTGAACATCTGTTGCCATCATTTTCAAAACATTTTTCTACTTTAGCCCTTAGTGTCAGCTCTTCTCCCTCCCTCATGAACCCTTGATAATTTATAATTTTTTTCCATGTCTTACACTGACCGATGTCTCTCTTCACCCACTTTTCTGTTGTCCATCCCCGTAGGAGGGTGTTCTATGTAGATCATTGTAATAGGTTCTCCCTTTCTCCTCCC